CTTCTAATGATAGCGAGGCTTGATTCATGTTCATGAAATTGATTTTAGTAGATTTTAGTAGATGTTTGCAGAATTCAGTAGATTTCAGTAGATTTTCGTTGATTTCAGTGAAATTCTGTAGAATTCAGTAGATTCTAGTGAAATTCAGTAGAATACAGTAGATTCTAACAGAATTCAGTAGATTTTAGTTAATTTTGCTACTGTTCAGCAGATTTCAACAGGTTTCTGTACATTTCAGTAGATTTTAGTAAAATTTAGTGGACAGATTCCAGTAGACGTCTGTGGAATTCAGTAAATTTTAGTAAAATTCCGTAGATTTAGAATACAGCAGATTTTACAATTCAGTAGATAGTAGAATTCTGCATCCTTCACATTCAGCAAGTGACCTAATACTTATGAACACGAGTGTAAATACTGTACTTTATGTGATTATTTCACCATCACTTTTTACTTTACTAATATATAATTTTATTTACGCTTATAAAAGTTAGTAGAATATTTTACACACTGTACGTGTATACGTGTAACGTCGACGAACGACTTATGCCATTTAGTAGCAAATTTCATCGAATTACACACTTTGGACCAAGCATGTCTGAGAGGACTTCTGGTACATCTATCATAAATTATGCAAATAAAATTTCAGATAAAGTTAACGTGACATTGAAACTTAACATTTCAAATATGAATGTTTTTTCTTTAGCAAAATGATAATTGACAACAATTTTGAATCTTAAAAATTTGAAGACTTCTGCTGAATGTTAATTATAAAAGGCTTCTCTTACAGGTCTCACATTAATCAGAAAAGTGGAAATTGGAAATTAATAAGAAAGTGGAAATTGAAATTTAAAATCCAAAAATTTTGAGATCTACAAATTTAAAAATCTGAAGATTTCTGCGAAATATAATTCGAGATTCTTCTTTTGCACGTCGCACATTAATCAGAAAAGTGGAAATTGGAAATTACTAAGAAAGTATAAATTAAAATTTAAAATCCAAAAATGTCGAGATTTACAAATTTAAAAATCTGAAGATTTCTGCGAAATATAATTCGAGATCCTTCTTTTGCACGTCGCACATTAATCAGAAAAGTGGAAATTGGAAATTACTAAGAAAGTATAAATTAAAATTTAAAATCCAAAAATGTCGAGATTTACAAATTTAAAAATCTGAATATTTCTGCGAAATATAATTCCAAGTATTTGCGAATTAAGTCTCGCATTGACCGGGTATTCCTGTCACAATAGATTTTCTCGAATCAGTCCTTCTTGCAAACCCGTTTTCGAGACACAACTGACCTGTTTCAACACGGTTTTCTTTGTAAGATTCGTATGTACTCACACGAGTCCGAGGGAATTCTGCGCTATTTACGGCGCATTCAGGGCTTAATGTTGCTTTTGTAATTTTCGTAGGAAGATATCGCGATAACGCAAACACGCCACGTTAATTGTAGCGTTATTTGATGACGGAAAGCTGTTAAATGTGCGCACGCCTAATTGTAATGCTCATCTTGCATTGCAGCGAATTATCACACGGTGAATCGCGAATTTTCCCACTCGATTGTGTTTCTTGGAAATTGAACGAGTGGAACATTTTAACGATCTTCTCTTCGCCGCAGGCCAGGTCACGATTTAATAATGCACGTTTTTCTTTAACTGGCCACCCCGGGAGAATCCTTGATGATAAAAATATCAGACGTGCTTGCAGATGCAACGTACACTCGAAAGTCAGAATTTGGCGCGAAAAAAGAAACGGTAGAAAAATCTTCACGCTCGAAAGTCAATATTTTTTTGCAAATTGACTTGTAAAATTTATTTATACGAACACGAATGTATATTTTTAGAAAACGGGTAAAGAAATGGGACCTGAAGTGATATACTCCTTTTTATTTCTAGACGGTTCTAAAAATATATATTTCTTATTTTGCATATTTGAAAAGTTACGTTATATAGCAAGATTATACAACGCGAATTGTAAGAATTCATGTCAAACCACTTTCAGTTACACTGTTACAATTTCATTTCATTTTCCCGGAGGAGAAAGGCGGAAAATTTCAATTATCAAACAATTTTCGAATAATTAGGGCGAAATTAGAGATATCCAATTAACTTCTGTTAAATACCTACCGATGTTTATACACACTTCAATATGGAATTTTTAGATAACACGTTAATTTACTTTATACCGAAATTTTACTTTCCACGTTTCCTTGAAACGTTTCGAACAAAAAGGAAGCAAGTCGAAAAATAATTTCTGTTAATTTCAGCATAGAATTTTCACAATAATACATCAATACACTTGCTACTAGTTCTCCACGTTTTCTTTTTAATTTTTCAAGAATGTAAGTCCAAAGGAGTGGCTAAACACTTTCAACCGAACAAAAGCAACGAAATGCACGTTTCACAGAATATTCTCTCGGGTTGCTCGTTCAATTTGCTCAATTCGAGACACGTAATTTCATCCTGATTTTATTCTTCGTTAGACATACATAGATGTTTCACATAGCATAGATAATTAGATTCAAACTTCAGATTACGCATTCCGACTGATTATCTCATCACGGCCTGTATCAGATATACTACACCTCTCGTCATGTCCTTTCGTCGTTATACAATTCACGCGACTTTACTTCACCGGCACAGGGTATTGTTTGAACGAAAAACGTGAAAGAGCGGAACTCGCGATTATAATTAACGCGTCTTGCGACGTTCCGTTTTAAAGGAAAACCTATCCGAGTTCTTCCGCTAAGAACAATCGTCACAGGCTGACGCAGGCGTCGACAAAATGAAATTTCTTAACGAAGTCTTTTCACTCGACTCTCGTTTCGTAGAATTTCATAAATCTTCCATTTTGCAGTTCACTTCGACCGTGATTCGAATTGAAAGTTTCATTTTTGCAAGGTATCATGTGGCAGAAATTTTTTGCGTATATATCGTATATTTATTAATTCAGTAATACGCTATATCGTCTGTTAATAATTATTCAATTTCATAAATCTTCTTTTTCGTTTTCATTCTATCCAACATTCGAATTGAATTTTTCTTACAATTTACCTACTATGTGAGAGAAATTTTTGTGTATATATTTATTGATTTAATATATTTAGCAATATGCTATATCGTATGTAGGTAATTATTTAATGGTCAATAGAACGAATGTATTCGAAAAGGTTTTCAACGGAGATGATAACGCGTAATAATAAATACACAGGTATGTGTAGATTGTTTTTAACTATAGTGGTATAATGTATTTTTGACGTTAATTCGATAAATCTTATTATATGAAATATGGAATACTGAAATTTGAAGTATAGTGTGAAAATTAAAATATAGTGTTAAAACTGAAAGTTGAAAATAAAATATACTGTGAAAATTGAAATATAGTGTTAAAACTGGAAGCTGAAAATTGAAATATAGCGTGAAAAGTTGAAATATAGCGTTAAAACTGAAAGTTGAAAATGAAATATAATGTGAAAATTGAAAATTGAAATATAGCGTTAAAACTGAAAGTTGAAAATTGAAATATAGCGTTAACACTGAAGGTTGAAAATGAAATATAGTGTTAATACTGAAAGTTGAAAATGAAATATAGTGTGAAAATTGAAAATTGAAATATAGTGTTAAAACTGAAAGTTGAAAATTGAAATATAGCGTTAAAACTGAAAATTGAAAATTGGAATATAGTGTGAAAACTGAAAGTTGAAAATGAAATATACTGTGAAAATTGAAAATTGAAATATAGCGTTAAAACTGAAAGTTAAAAATTAAATACACTGTGAAAAGTTGAAATATAGCGTTAAAACTGAAAGTTGAAAATGAAATATAGTGTGAAAATTGAAAATTGAAATATAGCGTTAAAACTGAAAGTTGAAAATTGAAATATAGTGTTAATACTGAAAATTGAAAATTGAAATATAGTGTGAAAATTGAAAGTTGAATATGAAATATAGTGCGAAGATAGAAAATTGAAATATAGTGTGAAAATTGAAATTTAAAATTGAAATATAGTGTAAAAAAGAATGGTTTACTCTAGTGAGAACTTTTCCTAACTGTAACCCATTGATCACTATCGTACATTAGCAGATCAATCGAATATACATATGTATACCACTGCGAATAGAATACGTATCGGGATAAATTTTTCCAACAGCAAACACGCATAATTTCAGACTTCCTTTAACAAACATTGCACACTTCTTTACAAGTCAACAGTGTATTGTAAGACCTCTTTAGTACACCTTAGTTGTTTTTTTTTATTGCTATAGCTCTTTCCTCTTCCCTGAATAATTTACATCTCTTAAAATTTACATTTTAACTCATATGCTAATTCTTCCTATTCTTTCCATCATTTGAAATGTTTTATTTATATCTATTATAACATTCTATTTCTGTTAACTTTACTTGTGTGAACTTTACCACGATCTATCAAGTTATGATAAAATAAAATCACCGTTAAATTCGACACTATTATGTAAATTGCTATTTTACAAACAAAATTCAATGCTCAGAACTCATAACGAAATGACAATCTAAGAAATGAAGAGAGTTTAAATAACCTCGAAATAAATATAATAAAAGGAATTGCAACAGTCCTAAGCAAAATAAACGAACAGGGCTTCAAATAGCCTCGAAACAAATAAAACGAAAAATTGACTAAGTGAAAAGCAATGTCAGCAATGTCGAAATAAATATAATAAAAAGAATCGCAACAATCCTAAACGAAATAAACGAAAAAGGCTTGAAATAGCTAAATCAGTGAAAAATAATTTCAACAATCTCCAAGTAAATAATCTGAAAAATAAAAAGAAATACCAAACACTTCACGAAGAAATCCGTTCTCTCTTCGGATTTACCCAGAAATGTAATATTCACCAGACACCATAAAGTCAGCAGCAAAACAGAATCCTGTTTCTCATCCTTTCCATCGACTGTTTCTTATCTTTCTTTTTTTTTTTTTCGTTTGCTCAGGCATTCGAATGGAATTCGTATAAAACGACTCACCTCTGGAAGATCGTTGCCCCTATTATCCTTTCGAGTTGCGTTTCACACTTGCGACACCGAGGATCCTCGGCGTGTTTATGTACACGGTGCGCGCGGACGAAACAAGATCGTGGTTCACGGTGCCACGATCAACAGCAGACTAGCCCGATACCATTCTCCATCGCGGTTGTAATATTCGACAACTTCCACCACTTTCGTGCCTTCCCTTCTGCCAGGTACCAGCTTATGGAAATCATTCGAGCGGCTGTTACCATCTCGCGGTTTCCCTCGCAGAGAATTCAGAAGGAGAGGAGGGACAGAGGGTACTTGAAAATTTTCGTACCGTGTTTCGCGCACATCTCATCGATATAAATGATTTTTTATTTCGGTTAGGATGCTTGTGTGGAATTGATTTTATTAATATGTTGCGAGTGATGAAAACGAGCGGATCATAGAGAGAAACAGGGAGCAAAAATCAGTAGAACCGCTGATATCAGAGAGTGCGTGAGAATTTATTGCGAGATATGATAAGAGAAATTATTGTTATAAAATATATTGCTATTGAACTTATTATCACGTGTTACACAACCACAGTTTGATGTTTTGGGTGTTTTTATTTGAACTTGTCGTCGATGATTTACGGCTGGTTCAAGGAGTAACGGTGAACGATAAATGAACGATACTAAGTTTGTATAAATTTTGGAATTCTGTCGAGTTGAAGATATTAACTGGGTTGTATTTGTATCAATTATGTTTGTATGAACATTGTATTATTTTAAGTTCACACGAACGATTGTTTGCGTATTGAGTTTAATACGAACGACGAGTTTGGTTTAAATTGGATGTGAAATTGAACAGCTTTTTAGGGTGTTTTTTTGTATTTCATTTTGGCAAGTGTCGTTTAGCTTTTTCATTGGAGCGATGTGACAGTGGAATGAAGAATTTTTTCTTTGGATCTTAATAATTTCGTAATGACTTTTGTGTGTCAAATAATTTTATATTGAACTTGTAACGACGATGAGACTTGGTTCACATTCAGTAAGAAGATTTTACAGGATTTCAGTAGAATTCAGTAGATTATAGTAAATTTTAGTAGAATTCAGTAGAGTTCGGTAGATTTCAGTAGATTTTAGTAAAATTTAGTAGATTTGCGAAGGTTCCGAAGGATCTCGATAGATTTCAGTAGAATTCAACAGACTCTAATAGAATTAAACAGAATTCAGCAGATTTTTATAGGTTCCAGTAGATTTCGATAGATCTCAGTAGAATTCGCTAAACTCCAGTATGCTTCACATTCACTACAACTGTCTCGATACTTCGAAACGGAAGTGTACTTCTGAAATGACAGCTACACGCATCGGTACTTCCCAAAATCGTAACTCACTTAGTCGTTCCATGTTTACTACCGGTACTTAATCCAATGAAAACGGCACGCTTGCGGAAATTTATCGCGAGCATCGTTCGTTTAATCGTGCTTTATCGCAAAAAGCTTCCCGATTGTTCGCCATAATGGCGGTAATTGCCCACAGATCCGTTCGTTCGCCCGTATACCGTTCACGCGACCCACGTTTTCGCCGAAACGTAACGACAGCCCGTCCGAAAGAAAGTAATTCCTGTGCTCGCGGATGTGTAACACGGGAAACTTAATGACAGTATTAACATCGGCATGGAAATGTATTCCTCGTCTTACGTAAGCTTCCTTGTCGTTGTTTCGTGCTTCGATGCTGTTCGTACACTTAGCGAGATCAAAAGTCAAAAGTAGATATCTCTAATTATTCGCATATTGTTTATGAAATATAATTTTTTCGGGATTTCTTATCTATCGTTTAAGCACTCTGTTCTAACCGCTGTAAATAATCCTTAATTTACTCTTTGTCTTGCGTGTTATTCTCTTATTTCTCTGTTTTCTCATTTTATTCCATTTTTCTTTTTCTTTCTCTCTTTTTTGAGTTTCTTCTTTATTTTGTACTGTGGGCGGTTTTGGTATGAAAGAGTGAACGCGAGAGTGTTGGTGTGAATGGCCTGGAAAGGAAGAACGAATGGAAGACGATCGTGCGTGGCGTATTTGTTATGTTCAGACAACATGGGTTGTCAAGCCGATCGCGGCGTGTGTGAGTGTGTATTTGGAGGAAGAAGAGTGCGAGGTGTGTGAGTGTAAAAAAAAAAAAAAAACAGGAAGCATCGAGCCAGGAGAGAACGAATCGGAGCAGCGGTGAGAAAAAAGAAGCAGATTATAAGTGAACAGCACCGGCGTCGCGTGGGGTTACTTTTTATTATAATAAACGCAAAAGTATTTAACAAAATCCCACAGTACTGTACATTACACTACCGCTCGGTGTGAATTTCAACCCCTGCATACTAAAGGGTTCTTAAACCCGTTAAATAAACAAATAAACAGTCACAATTTTCGTTATGGTAAATAGACGTAAAATTTAAGAAAAAGTTATTCTATCGATTGGCAGCTTTTTATCTTTCAACGGACGAAGGTTAATAAGAACAGTAATTTTTGTATTAATTTTTCATTTAAAGCTTTTAATATTCTCAATGTTAAAATTTCTATTTGAATTTGAATTTAACTGAAATTTCTTATCTTTTACTCGATGGAAGCATTTTAATAGCGTGCAACTTCTATTTAAACTCAACACTTCAACAGTTCAACGAAGAAACGAGAAAGTAACAAATTAACGAACTTGTTGATAACGACAAGTGAATTATGATTGTTAGGCACGTTCAATCGTAATAGAAACTTCGAGATCGAAATGAATTTCACGGAGCGAGAACGCTGCAGAAGATAAATTGCTAAATATGATTTAGAAAAGATGACAATTTCGCAAGTATAATTACCAAGGAGTTTTGTTCAAATGTCGAGCAGGTAGAAACACCGTTTTTATTTATATTTTCTATTCTGATTCTGAATGTGTATGTGCATGGTAATTGGAGGACTCTTCATCATCGCCGAGGTTTTTCGATTCAACGTGGTAATTTTGAAGAGCAAGGTCGTCGCTATCGCTAGCACCGTAACTGGGCAGATCGTAAAAGGATCGAATCGCAGGTTTCTCGTCCACGTGAATTAGCTCAGGTGTCCTCCAAAATTTTTTCTGCCAGTGAAATTAAACAAAACCGGTTTAGCCTGCGGGTGTCTCGTTGAAAAATCACGGGGAGTCGGAGCACTACGGTAAAATGCACAGATACTATTCTAACTAATTAGCATTTTACCATTTTAACACGTTAAGCGCCAAGCCTGTTTTGTCTTCCTTTCCGTTTAGCCCGCGATATCCGATTTCACCGAGATCTGTGTAAGGTTGCGACAAGACTGCATCTGTTTTAATAATACTTGTTAAAATTTTCTTTTGGTAACAAGTAATATTTAGGTACATTCTTTTATGATTTTCAAATTATTTAGAATGTATTAATAGAAGAATATAATTTTTTAAATCGAATATCGTCAGTCAACAGTGACTGACGCGGCCCGAACGAAAAGTATACCGTCAGTCGCCGGTGACTGACACGGCGCTTAACGTGTTAAGGTACCATTTTACCATTTTATAATTTTCAGTTACCGTTTTAATCAATCTCTTTTTCGCGAAGGGAAGTTATTAATAAAAGTAAGGAAATAAACAAAATTCAAAGTCACGGAAAAGAATTAGGTCGGAAATTAAGAATGACAAAAAATTGAGTATTATAACAGTATTTTTAAAAATTATTTTAAAAAAGTACGACGAACCTGACGATCTGAATTCGACGACACTTGTTTCGCATCATTTCGAGAGGAAAGCTTGCTATTAAGCTTTTCTTCTTCGAAAGCTTCGTAATTACGCGCACCTCCAACATTATTTAACAGCTTTTCTGTAAAATTGTTATTCGACTCCGTTTTTGATGGCTTCAACTCGTTCGAAGATTCGTTAGCTGCTCCAAGGTGGTGATTATTTAAGATCGAGCTTTTCACCGAACTTTCTTCTGGATTTAATTCTGAATTCTGATCTGAAGGATAGTTCTCTTGGTCCATGGCTTCCAGCAAGGTTTCTATGTAAGGCAATAGGTTCTCTCTATTGAGTTCAAAGAAAACGTTTGGGCCCATCTTGTTGTTATCTTCATCGGTGATTTGACGTGACGGTAATTCGGAATGAAAGTTGTTTGGTTCGTTCGAGTGATTGATAGATTGAATGTCATCTGAAATAGACATCATCCGTATCAATCGTAAATATTAGTAACCAATTTTAAATAATTCTTGCTAATCTCACGATTAATTGTTAACGTGTATACTTAATTTTACTTAAATTTCGAGAAAAAGAAAATATGAGTTATTACTTCATTTCCATTTTTGAAAGTATATTTGTTGGAATACATTTACTGCAAAGAGTATTCAAATAGATAATGTCGATGATCTGTTTAACGAACGTTGAGAATTTAAAATTTTTCAAATTTCACTGCTAAAAATTTATTCTGCGATAGAAAAGATGAGATGTAATTCGAGAAAAATCGCAGTTGCTTTTACGAAGAAACGAATGCAGATTGTAACTTCCAAAGTGCAACAATAGTGATCTCTGCCTTCCTAATGAAGCTGTAAAACCGATGAGAAAATGGTACATAATTGGTTTCATTGTACCTCTAAAATAAGCAAGGTAAGCGTTATTATTCATCCCAGGAAAAATACTTAATAATTTACGAAATACTGTGCAACAATTTTACGACGCACGGACGATAGTAGAACGACAAGGAAAATTGTTTTCAACGAGAAGCTTTAACACACTTTTTTCTATGTTGACATAAGACGTTTAATTGGACACTGTTAGATAATACTCCTTGCACGTGCATTCGTTGAAACGATAAAATACTATTTATTTTGCATATTTTTTGGGTCAAAGATAATGCTACAGTGTTTCATAAAATAAAGTAAAATTTCAATAATAAGGTACTGTTACGCTATTTCATAAAATAAAATAAAATTTCAGTAATAAGAGTAAGTAAATTGTAACTACTTTGCATATAAAATATACCTGACTTAAAGAACGTATCATTCATTGCAAAATTGTAGCATTGAATCAAAATTATCAAAATTACAAACACAATATTTATATTT